GTTGTATTTTGTTGTTGCATTCAAGCAATTGACGCCTAACTGCCGCTAATTCGAAGCGAGGAAAAGAGGGAACATTCAAACGAACTAAAAACGAACAATTGCTTTACTCCGAATTGGCACTATTTGAAAGTGAAAGTAAAATGTGCACGCTGCTTTTACAAGCTATTTAAAAGCGAAGGAAAGCGAGGAAAAAAGGGAACGCCCCCACCCCCGTGGTGATACCGGTATTACCGGTATTGACACACGTCGATTAACCGGTGGGAAAATTTCCTCACCGTCACAACCCTAATGTCTATCCGCACTGACCCACATGGACATTTAAAATCACAGCACTTAGTTTTCAGCTCTGACTGCGGTTGACCAACAGGTCAAAGAAGCCATGAGGGAAAGAGTGAAATAAACACTACAACAGTTGGACAGTATATCAGACTCAGTGGCCTCATATCAGGCATGCTTTACACATAACTAGTACTGTTTATCCCAAGGTTTCTGCATGTTTTATGAAGGCAAATTTAAGAGTTTTTCAGACCAAGAAAAGAAAATTTTGTCAATATGGTCTCTAAATGTAAATGTCTTGTATTAGCAAGGCTTCAAAGTTTGAAAATACAACTTCCAACAGATCTCCATTACCTTTTAATTCATTTTACTAGAAGAAAAAAAATAAAAGCTAATCAATGGCTTGTTCCCATCCTCTAGAATACGAAAACAACTTTTTCTGTACCTTCTGATCACACTGCAAAAAAACAAAAAAAGCAATGGTCTTCCTCAGCATTTTGTCTTGTTTTCCAGTGCAAATGTCTAAAGATTCTTAGATCAAAATACATTTACTTGAGAAGCAAAATTGCATAAAAATAAAATACAAAGTCTTGTTTTATTAGAAATTGATTAAAACAAAAACAAATATGGGTAACACTTTACAATAAGGTTCAATTAATTTTTGTGTATTAACTAACATCAGAAGTTTCTTGTAAAAATCATGCGTTCCACTGTCTGAAAAAAACAAACAAACAAACAAACATAAAAATGAAGATAATGATTTTCTCCTTATAATATCACTTTACAAAAATGTTTTTCTTGTTGATCTTAATTGTTATTGAACAATTCACAATGAGCAATTAACAGATTTATGAAGTGTGCAAATCAATAACTCCTTTACCACAGCCATCCTGGTTCTTTTGTGTAATTTTAGAGAACAACAGACGTTCAATTCTTTCTTAGATTTAACAGTGAACTTCACCAGATGGATTGATTCTGATTTCTTTTATTTTTATTTTATTTCGAATGAATTTAGCTCTTTTAGATTAGAGATTGTTTTGTTATCATCATCATGGAAATAAATATATATAATAAAAGGTTCCATTAGTTAATGTTAGTTCATAACATGAACAAACAATGAACAATACATTTATTTATTAATCTTTGTTAATGTTAATGAAAATACAGTCGTTCATTGTTAGTTCATGTTAATTCACAGTGCATTAATGTTAACAAGCACAACTTTTGATTTTAATAATGCATTAGTAAATGTTGAAATTAACATGAACATAGATTAATAAATGCTGTATTGTTCATTCTTAGTTCATGTTAACTAAAGTAGTTAACTAATGTTAACTAATGAACCTTATTGTAACGTGTTACCCAAATATGTATGCCAACGGGCTCAGAAAAATTTTTATTTTCTCAGAAAATATTTCATAGGGAAAACACATTTTCATACCCCACTGACGATATTTGCTCGTTTTAAACATGAAATGTTGTTACATTCATGGTTCGTACACATTTTTAGCAATACTTTCCATGAATTTTGAGACAATATTCATGACCTAATGTTCCATTATTTTACAAGTATTCATGTAAAATAAGAATACAAATCTATGTTCAAATTTATCATTGCATATGTTAACTAAAGTTAATGACTATTAATGCTACTAATTTGCTTTCTATTTGTTTATAGTAATAAGGACAAGCTGCGACTGTGCCAGACGTTACACCACGCAGAGAGCATATTACATCATTGAATATTACAATTTATTTAACCAATATTATCAACTAAACTCAGGACCTGAATTGCATTTAGGAAACCGTTTAGGTCTAACAAGTAGCCTAGTATTCAGGTACAGAAATATACAGAAATTAAATAAACTGTAAATTAAAACCATATTAATCCTTCAAATGAAAGTTAAAAAAGTTATTTAGTCAAGAGCAGTGATTGATCGATAAATACTGTTGAATTTAAAATTGGGATTTATCCTGATTTATGTGATTTGTCATCAATGTTTTTTTTTTTTTTTTTTTTTTTTTTTTTTTGGTCTTTTGTTGTTTGATTAACAATAATGACAGACGGCACAGCTTTATTAGGCTGCTGTTTCTTTAAGGCCGACCGCACGGATCCAATATTCTGATACATACAATGGTTTTCTTTCTCAACAACTGCTTACATTCACTTAAGACAAAACCACTGTGTTTATGAGCATACTCACCAGGCGGGCATTTTGACATAATTTTGTGTGTATTTGGCCGCTTAAAGGGGTCATATGATGCCATTTCAAATTTTGCTTTCTCTTTGGAAGTGTTACAAGCTGTTCGTGAATAGATAAGATCTAAAAGTTATAAAAGTTAAGACTTGTGTCCACGCCCTCCTAAAACGGCTCGTTCTAACCATAGACTGTATAAAAACATGGACGTAGTGTCCGTGACGTAACCCGTAGACTTCCGACGAGTGTTTTGAAGCCTAAAGTAGGCGGAGCCAGCCGTCGCCATCTTGGCAGCGCGTCACCGCGCGTCACTCCCGGATAATCGAAAATGGGCAAAGAGGCGGGAGCTGGTTGCTGAAACCACACCTACCTAGCTCGACGGTGGTGACAACAGCGGCAATCCACCTGTCACTCAAGTGGCCACGCCCTTAATTATGCAGAATTTTAAGGCTTAATATAATTTAAATGGATGAGTTATAAAAACATTCACCCCCCTCACAGTTGTCATGAAGGGCAAAATTAGCTATATAGACCAAAACCGCTTTTTGAACCAGGCTGTAAACGTTTTTTTCTGCTGTAAAGTTGGGCATTTTAACATGGGGAGTCTATGGGATTGACTCCCTTTTGCAGCCAGACTCCCTTTTGCAGCCAGCCTCTAGCGGCCAGTCGATGAATTACAGTTTAAGTCACTTCCTTGTTGGCTTCACGAGCGAGAGCGGGAGGTTGCCGCTCGGTTCTAACACTCCCCCACATGTCTACGTCACTGTGTGGGAAGATTTGCATAACGCCGCCCAAATGTTGACGCAAAGAAAGAAGGCATAACTTTTATTCTCGCTGTAGTATTGTTGTTGCCGCCGCCATGTCGTGGAGATGCTGTGCTTCGTTGTGAAAGCGAAACTACTTTGTTTGGCCTTCCAAAAGAGGACGATATCCGCTTCGTCATGCCTAGAGCTGATCCGTGCTGATCACTGAGAAAATACATCAACTTCACGCTGTGAATCGCCGGATCGGCTTTCACCGTGGACGAAGCGGAGTCCAGCCCGGGGTCGTCACATGTGGTTGCCGCAAGCGAAACTACTTTGTTTGGCCTTCCAAAAGAGGACACAATTAGAAATCAGTGGTTAAGTTGTCAACCCAAATATTCAGATGTGTGCAGCACATTTTATGGAGGACTGTTTCCTGAACCTGCAGAGTAGCCTACAATGCGTCTGTGGCACAAAGGCTGTTTCTATAAAGTGGGGCAGTTCCAACTTTGCAAGGACAGTCTGGCGCTTCTGACTCACAGCCTGGAAGTTTGTTTTTTTATATTTAAAGAATTTGCCACTTATGATTCAAACGCGAGTTTTGAGCAGTGTAGAGTAGCGCTTGTTGTTTGTCGTTTCTCTGATCACAAATACAGACATGGTTTTATGTTTATATTAAATAAATGTTTGCAGGAATTTCCCGCATTATAAACTCAAAACCTGCAGGAATGAGTAAAACTAGGCGATATATGCGCGATCGCACACCGAAATTCAGGACCTGAATAAAAATATATTTTATTGCACAGAGATTTGTGAAATAAATTTCCATGACTTTTCCAAAAACTTTCTTGGTTTATTAATTCTTCCAAAACGTTTGCCAGGCCTGGAAATTGCCGTTTTGAAATTCCATGACTTTTCCAGGTTTTTCCAAGACCGTACGAACCCCCGTGTAACATTTATCAGAAAACATGACTTAAAAACATCTTAATTTAAAGACATTTAGATATTTGTATTAGGAAAATTTCCCTCATACTGAGGGAAATGTGCTATTTGCAGAGCATGCAACATTTAATGCCATCATTTTATGATTTCCTGCTTCAATTCAAGACCTTTGTGGAAGGATGACTTAAGACCCGCAGAAACCTCGCATCCAAATCCAGACAAATAATAATTCAAGAACTGTGGGAATGAAGACTCCAAGCACACAAAAGTGAATTCATATTCAGCTTCTCATCAGTCGGTTTAATTCAACCCAGTAACACTGGTGAATATTGGCTTCATTGCAGAGGTAACATAACAGATGACATGCTGGTAACTAATGACACTTGATGGTCCAACAACCTGACATGTAAATCATCAGCCACACGTTTCCTCCTATTACTCAACAGTAAGACAGACATTAGTTTAATAATTGATCAGGAGGAAAAACACTCCATTGGCTGAACGCTTCCCTTACAACGCGCAAATAAAAACAAAGTAAACTCTAACAAAGTCTACGACACCCATCCCCCAAGATCCTACAACTTCTGCTGCCATGTGAATGAATGCCTCTGCTGAATTTATTCGTGACCTGCTAATGCATGCATAAAGAATGCAACGTTAAGAGAACATATCTTGACATCCTTGTCAGGTGTTGCATGCACATGCACAACAGGTAATACATGCTTATGCAGAGGCGATAAAGGCGTACGCGCGCCATTCCCTCCGGATTTTGACAGCCCCGGTGGTTCCGCCTCAAGCAACCGTGCGAATGATCACAAATGCATGCGTTTCATAAGCATACCTCACTTTCCACGACATCGTGATACGCAGGCGGAGGATCAAACCCTCCGGTGCCCGTGCGCCCGCTGTTCTCGCCGTCTCCGCTGAGGCCGGAGCCAGGGGAAGGGCCGCTTTCCATCGGCTCGTAGCCGTATCCGAGTCCCGGGCTTTCGTTGGTGAGCAGCGCGACAGCCTCGTTGATGTCGTTTTTGGCCAGGCGCAGGGCTTTCCGGATGGCCACCGGGTCTGGGAAGCCCATGCATAACAGCGTGGTCATATGCTGCTCCTCCTCTGTCTCCATCATGGAAGTGTGTCGATGATCGGGGCTTCAGTAAGGGGGCACATAGCACAGAAATCCGGCTGTGCACGCCGCCATGTTTACAGTCGGTGGTGCTGCTGGTAAATATTGATTGTCTGACTGTATATACACACACACACACACACACACACACACACATACAATATATATATATATATATATATATATATATATATATATACAGTATAATCACACTACATTTAGAATCCACATAAAAAGACATGAGGGCAAAATTCCGAGTACTAATCCAAGATGCGCAAGATGTGGGGGTGAACATGAATATGGCCAATGTGGGCAAGGAATTAGTACCAAATGCTGTAATTGCAGAGGAGAGCACAGTGCGGGATACGGAGGATGTAAGGTGAGGAAGCAGGCGGCGCAAGTTCAGACGGTCAGAGTCGAGGAAGGGATATCGTATTCTGAAGCGCTAAAGAAAGTTGGAAAGAAGAATGAAGAAGGGAGTAGTAGGGTATCATTACCTGAACAAAAAATGAAAAGCAAACAGGATGAAAAGAAAGAGATATCAAAGATCACAGACAAAGTGTCATTTGTGTCGTTTATGGCAGAAGTTGTCAACTGTTCTGCTCAAACTGATAGCCGGACAGAAAGAATCAAGATAATAATCAAAGCAGCTGAAAAGTATTTGGAGATAAAGGGTATTTCTGTAGACATGATAAATGAAAATCTAAAGGTATATGTAACAAGCTCGCAATCAGGATGTGGTGGATCTTAATGGTATTTATAATTTTACAGTGGAACGCCAAAAGTCTTATTGCAAATGGTCAAGCATTTAAGGAATATATATCCAAGAAAGAAAGCAGCCCAGATATAATATGTATACAAGAAACTTGGCTTAAGCCACAGTTGAATTTTACATTACAAGGATATACAATAATTCGGAAAGATAGGAAACAAGGGAATGGAGGTGGGGTAGCTACTTTCATTAAACAAGGAATTGGGTTTAGAAATATTGTAAGAGATGTGGAGCAAGAGGTAGTAGTGGTGGAAGTATGGGAAGGGATACAAAGTTATAAAGTAATTAATTTCTACAATCCATGCGAGAAGTTGAGTTTAAATGTGTTGGAAAATATTGGTGGGAATATAGGGAATAAAGTGATTTGGTGTGGTGATTTTAACGCCCATAGCACGTTGTGGGGGAGTAACAAAAATGATTTGAATGGGACGATTGTTGAGGATATGCTTGATTGGGGAAGGTTAGTATGCATTAACGATGGAAGTAATACAAGAATAGATGTTAATCGTGGGCGTGATTCAGCATTAGATTTAACGTTAGTGTCTGATAATTTAGCTGGAAAGTGTGAATGGAATGTAATGAAGCAAAGTACTATAGGAAGTGATCATTTTCCTATTGTTATTAAAATTGGGGTGGACATAACAAAAGTGGAAGTGGTGAGAAATCCAAGATGGAAGTTTAAGACTGCTGAATGGGGGATTTTTAAAGAATTGTGTCAAAATAAAATGGCTGAAATTAACTATTCGGATATGGATGTAGATGAGTTAAGTAATAAAATAAGTGATGTACTTAGAAATACAGCAGAGGAGGTAATTGGCAAAAACAAATCTAAAAACAGAAGAAAAGCGGTCCCATGGTGGAATGAAAAATGTAGTGAATTAGTTTGTAACAGAAATAAAGCCCTTAGGAAAGCAAGAAAATCGCTAGTGTTCACTGATTTTATTAATTATAAAAGAGCTCAGGCAATGGTGAGGAGAGAAATTAGAAGAGCAAAGAAAAATTATTGGAGAGAGTTTTGTAATAAAATTGGGGTAGAAATTGAAATTAATGAACTGTGGGGTATGATCAGGAAAATGGGAGGAATTCAGAGGAATACTAGCATTCCGGTGTTAGTTGACAACAACAATATTGCAGTAACTGATAGTGATAAAGCTGAAATATTAGTGGAGACATTTGTTAAGGTTCATAGCAATGCAAATATATCAGAGGTTATGAGGAAGTACAGGGAACAGTGTGTGATGGATAATGCTCAGATATTTGTAAAAAAGAATCCAGATGGAGGCACACTAGATTCAGATTACACATTGTATGAGATGAAAAGAGCATTGGTGGGGATTAAACAGACTTCTCCTGGGAAAGATGATATTTGTTATGAGATGATTAAACATTTATCGGATGTGTCATTAAATATGATATTAGGACTCTTTAATATGGTTTGGGAAACGGGGAAGTTGCCTGATGCATGGAAGCACAGGGTTGTGGTGCCGATCGCCAAACCAGGAAAAGATCAATCTCAGACAATCGATTATAGACCAATATCTCTGACTTCCAATATTTGCAAACTTATGGAACGGATGGTTTATATGGAATAGATTGTCATATGTTATTGAGAGCAAGAACCTGTTTCCTGTGAGGATATGCTTGATTGGGGAAGGTTAGTATGCATTAACGATGGAAGTAATACAAGAATAGATGTTAATCGTGGGCGTGATTCAGCATTAGATTTAACGTTAGTGTCTGATAATTTAGCTGGAAAGTGTGAATGGAATGTAATGAAGCAAAGTACTATAGGAAGTGATCATTTTCCTATTGTTATTAAAATTGGGGTGGACATAACAAAAGTGGAAGTGGTGAGAAATCCAAGATGGAAGTTTAACACTGCTGAATAAAATAATTGTGTCAAAATAAAATGGCTGAAATTAACTATTCGGATATGGATGTAGATGAGTTAAGTAATAAAATAAGTGATGTACTTAGAAATACAGCAGAGGAGGTAATTGGCAAAAACAAATCTAAAAACAGAAGAAAAGCGGTCCCATGGTGGAATGAAAAATGTAGTGAATTAGTTTGTAACAGAAATAAAGCCCTTAGGAAAGCAAGAAAATCGCTAGTGTTCACTGATTTTATTAATTATAAAAGAGCTCAGGCAATGGTGAGGAGAGAAATTAGAAGAGCAAAGAAAAATTATTGGAGAGAGTTTTGTAATAAAATTGGGGTAGAAATTGAAATTAATGAACTGTGGGGTATGATCAGGAAAATGGGAGGAATTCAGAGGAATACTAGCATTCCGGTGTTAGTTGACAACAACAATATTGCAGTAACTGATAGTGATAAAGCTGAAATATTAGTGGAGACATTTGTTAAGGTTCATAGCAATGCGAATATATCAGAGGATATGAGGAAGTACAGGGAACAGTGTGTGATGGATAATGCTCAGATATTTGTAAAAAAGAATCCAGATGGAGGCACACTAGATTCAGATTACACATTGTATGAGATGAAAAGAGCATTGGTGGGGATTAAACAGACTTCTCCTGGGAAAGATGATATTTGTTATGAGATGATTAAACATTTATCGGATGTGTCATTAAATATGATATTAGGACTCTTTAATATGGTTTGGGAAACAGGGAAGTTGCCTGATGCGTGGAAGCACGGGGTTGTGGTGCCGATCGCCAAACCAGGAAAAGATCAATCTCAGACAATCAATTATAGACCAATATCTCTGACTTCCAATATTTGCAAACTTATGGAACGAATGGTTATGAATAGATTGTCATATGTTATTGAGAGCAAGAACCTGTTTCCTGCATATCAGAGTGGATTTCGGAAAGGGAGGAATACCATGGATTCAGTTTTATGTTTGGAAAATGAAATTAGGAAGGCTCAAGTTAAGAAGGAATTAGTAGTAGGTGTGTTTTTCGATATTGAAAAGGCATATGATATGTTGTGGAAGGAGGTTTTTTATTGAAATTGGATAGTATGGGAATTAAAGGTAAAATGTATAACAATACAAGTGAGAGTGGGTTCTGCATACTCTCAGGTTCTTCCAATATAGAACGGAACTCCTCAAGGTAGTGTAAGTAGTCCTATTCTTTTTAACTTAATGATGAATGACATTTTTTCTAATATTGACTTTGTTGTGAGCAGGTCATTGTATGAAGATGATGGAGCGTTATGGTTTAGGGGGCGAAATGTTTTGTATGTGGAAAAGAAAATGCAAAAAGCTGTAAAGGAGGTTGAGGATTGGGCAAGGAAATGGGGTTTCAGGTTTTCTGTGGCAAAAACGCAGGTAATATGTTTTTCGAATAAGAAAATTAATCCTTCTCTGAATATATAAATGTATGGGCAACAGCTAGAACAAGATAATGTAGTGAAGATAATTTCTAGGAATGTGGATGGACTCAAAATTGAAGTTCAGAATACATATTCAGAAGCTGATAGAAAAATGTAAGAAAGGGATAAACATATTAAGATGCTTGTCTGGAGTTGAATGGGGGGCTAGGCGTCAATCAATGGAAAGAATATATAAAGCAGTATTAAGAGCCAACATTGATTACGGTTGTATGGTGTATACTTCTGCAAATAAAACTTGGACTAAAAAGATTGAGAAGATACATTAACTAATAGATACATACACTAGCATTAAGGGTCACTCGGAAAGTCACCCAGTCAAGAATATTTTAAGAGAATGTTGGGAGTATGAATGTAAAGAATTTGTAAGTTTTGGCTGGATTGTTGGGAAGGAAGCACAGAGAATGGGTCTTGATGAGATTGATATTGCACCATCAGTGGCGATTCCGGCGATACCTCCCTGGTTGTTTCCAATGCCATTTGTTGATTTAAACATTCATAAAGAGATAAAAAGCATCGACATGAACATCCCAATAGTTTCAGCTGTGCAACAATATATAAATCAAACGTATTATTTAGTATTGCAGATATACACAGATGGATCTAAAGACCCAGGGACTGGAAGAACAGCAGCTGCAATATATATACACTCCTAAATTCAATATCAAAGTTGCTAGAAGAGTTTCTGATCATGTATCTGTATATACTTCTGAATTATTAGCTATATGTTTTTCACTTAAAAAAAAAAAAGAAAAAAAAAAAAAAAGGGGTTTTTTTTTTTTTTTAAATCTATAATAGTTGAATAATTCATAGCTGAACCGTTTACGTTTCACACTCCAGACCAGTAGGTGGCGGACATGCACCTTTAACGTTAGTTTGCCAATCCGCCAAAAAAACTCGAGAGAAGAAGAAGAGTACTAATCCAATTTAGAATTAATCATTATTTTGAAATCCAAATTTCACATTCAT